AAGTTAACGGTAACGGTTAACGGTTAACGGTTAACGGTTAGTTAGTACGTAGTACGTACGTACGTACGTACGTAACTAACAACTAACTACTACTACTTCTCTCTCTCTCTCTCTCTCTCTCTCTCTCTCTCTCTCTCTCTCTCTCTGTGAAAGTTTTCAGAAATTCATTTCAAATTTACTGTTTACATTACACTGATTTCAAAGATTTTACGCTCTACAATCCCTTCTGTGTTCTGGTGTAGATATCACATTACTAAAATATATAAAACCATTGCAAAAGAATATTTCAACAACATGAACAAAGGTATATTAGCTCATTATTAAGACAATAGAAGAATAAACAAACATAATGAGGGTAAACCATCCTTCTCCATACATAGTGAACTCTCTACTCCTAACAACAGTGTACCACACATTTAATGGTCCCAGGTGGCAGAATTACAGCCTTCATTATTGTCATCAATATCCCAGAAGATGACAAGAGTATCCGAATCGAAACATGATATGCAATGGAGGATAGCAGCATTTCTGTTTCCAATTTCATTGTTGGAGTTAAGAGTGTTTGTGTTTGAAAACATGGGGAATGTTGGTGAATCGCATAGAGTAGAACGTAGTTGATAAAAGAATAACTTACAGCATAGGCAATGGCATATCCATCAAAGGTGCTCGTCCCACGACCAAGCTCATCAAGAACCACTAAAGAATTTTGAGTTGCATGTTGTAGGATGGATGCAGTCTCTGAGCACTCAATAAGAAAGGTACCTGTAAAAGAACATGAATGCTTGTAAATAAATTCCGAATGTGAACATCTGAGCACCATAATAGAGACCAAGATTCAGAAGATAATATCAAATCCTAAGCTTTCAAGAGTGAGCTATAATTTTAAATTTTAGTTGTTCATTATCGAAATTTACGAGTTTCCTATCACCATTCATAATCAACAATCCTTGTTGTAAATTCTAGATTTGTAATTCATTACTACAAGTCAGGAAACATACATTACATAATTAACACACTTTAATGTATCTCATATGTCAGATCGTATCAACCTCTACAAAGTCCCATGAGTTTACCTGATCATTACCAGTTTTGGTTGTTGAAATTCAATCAACTGCGCATATTAAGACTAGTGAACTATTCCTTTCAAAATTTATCTAACAGATCCATAATTATGTAGAAAATACTCACTTTCTCCCAACATAATACGATCAGTTGAACCAAGGCGTGTGAAGATGATATCAACAGGCGATAGGACACATGATTCGCAGGGCACATAGCAACCCAACTGAGGATAAAAGGGGGAAACAAGAAAAACAAAACGAAACGTTAAAAAGCACAACATCTTGTTATATTTGCATGCGCATGCCATATAACAAAGCAGAATGTATGCATTTATCAGCATAAGTTTATGCAAGCCATTCACAATCTATCAAAATATGGTGAAGTCCTTGCATACTCAAGATTTTTTAGCACTCAATGCAGGAGTCCTTAAACACAAAGGTAGTTTTTTCTTTGGTTTTGTTTTCAAAAAAGGTATCTTATGTCATTTGTGGGGGCAAAGAAATTATTTTGTTGCTGACAAACATTAAATGCCCCATGTAGGTGAATTACACAAAACCTGCTCCCCATAACAGCCCCAGATAATTATCATATTGCACCAGGTAGTATGCAACAAAGTGCAGTAGAGAACATACAAACATGCACGTACAACAAACCTGAGCAAGAATAACAGCTAGACATGTAGCACGAAGAAGGGTTGATTTGCCACCCATATTTGGCCCAGTTAAAAGCAACGTGTTAGGGTTACAGCCAGCCATCTCTCCGCCAAGGTACACATCATTTGGAACTACACTGCTACCATTCACTCCTATGGCATATGGGTGCCACACTCCATTAATCTTGAGCATGGATCCTTTGTTCTCATCTCCTGAACTAGAACTTGGAGGCATAAAAACAGGTCTACACATAGACCCATTGCATGAATTGGCAGTGACAGCAAACGATTGCAATACATCGATTGTGCTAAGGCAATTAATGGCTTGAGACCATTGAGTAGAGCTTCCAATGAATAGATTCACAAGAACAGATAATGTCTCAGCATCTGAATCTTTAATGTTATGGTCCTGGCCAAAGTATTTAACTTAAAAAATGCAAAGATGAATGTGAACATAATCAAATAATTTATACAACAGTGCATGGTTTTTGTCATGGCCATAATGCCATGGTTCGGCCAGCTGTAGTTATTAAGATTACAGCAGAGTAAAAAAAGACAAATTTCTCCAATTAGTTTAGGAATATAAACATTTAAAAACAACCACTTCATTTCATCTTCATAAACTTATTTCAATTATGATGACACTATTCTTTGGCATTATACAAGGAAATAAAAGCCTCAGAGAATCCATAAAGAAGAAATATTCAACTAAAGCTGGACTCTAAAAGAAATTGAAAATATGCACCAGAAAAATAAGGGAACAGAAATAATATAACAAACCACGCAGTATAAATATACGCATAAATACAATATATTAGTGCAAATGTTACACAAGTCATTTTCTATTTTTGATCAACTTAAAATTGATGTTAATTATTTCTTAGGCAAAAAAGTACGATATGTTGTGCAATAGTTTGCTGAATAAAAAAGGTACTTCCACATCTTTATTTTTTAGAACTTGTCAACTTCCTGATTTACTTAAAAGACAGATCAAAGAAACGAGGGCCAGTTTTTAGGAGCAAAGGAAGAGAGAAAATAAGTGCAAATCAAAAAGATGGGGAATAAGAAGGAATTCCATTTGAACTTATAAAGCCCACCTAAATAGATATAACAATGGTACACAGTTTAATGATCATTAGTTGGACTCTTCTTTTCAGCCTAAGAGGCTGAAGTCTTTGCCGTCACAAAGTGAAGCCAATCCCACCTGATATATCTCAAAATATCAGGAAAACATCACCAATATTTGGAAATTAATCAAAGGAAGCAACAAGGTTACTCATCAATCCTGTTGTTGTTATTCCATGCACTTTGTTCTGTTATTGAATCTAGTCAAGGTCTATGTCGAACAAAATCCTTCATTATTTGTTACGAAGAAGTTTTAACATTTCAGGAAAATATTCGAGATGGAGAGCTAATGTGTGTAAGCATTAGATTCAAACTAAACCTTTGTGGCAAAAACATTTCTGGAAAGTATGCATGGATATATCTACCCCCGTAACTAACACGCCACCTGAGATTAGAAGTATATGCATGGCTGGTATAACTTAGCAAATCTGCATTAAATGCATCTTGACTTAATTTAACAGGGAGTGTCTTTAAAAGATTAGGTCATCAAGAATAATCTTACTAAACCAACCTGGTAATGGGGAAAATCATCATCAAAAGCAGCTTCCAATTCAGTAAGAAGGACATCAAGATTTTTAATGCCATTCAGAAATGAAGGAGGCAAGAAGTTTGCTAGTTGAGAACACCAATATTCTTCTTTTTGTAAGACTTTCAACATGTCCATCCCAATTCGGAGGCCTTTTATGAGGGATCCAAACGCTTTCACCTGAAACACATGCAAAGACTCAACTGCTGAAAATCGTAACATGCAAAAGAAAAAGCTTCAGCACCTACGAATTGTTGGATGTAAAATATTTGTGAAAAATTCCAAAAATCTTTTCAACAGGGAGAAACAACACATTTTGTGCCGTGAATCCAATAAAATTAGAAACACCATGAGAATAAAACACGGGGAACATCTAAACCAGCCATCCAGAAAACCTCACAATTAGAGATAAAAACCACAAAGAGACTATTCATGAGCAAGATTATTCAGATAAAATTTGTCCCACATCGGCTCAAAGAGCACCGATTTTTAACTGAATCTTCAGAAGCAGTGAAAGCATAAAAGACACAAAAAAACCATGCAACCAGCTGCACGCATAGAAGTTCAAAACTCGCAAATGACTCCACATATACATAGGCTCAGAATCAATAATGGGAACTTCCTACCCACAAAACACACAATCATATGTCTTAGTGTCATGAGAAACCAAAATGTAGCAATATAGTTCCAACTGACCTCCATCCCAGGAAGAATCATCGATTTAGGAAACCCAACTTTTTAAGATACCACATAAGAGCATCAAAGCAAACAGTCCACTAAGCAACTGAAATTTCAATCGTTCATGCTCAAGGTTATAGTAAGATTGTATAAGAATGAAAAACCATTCACCCAACTGGTGACCGAACACCATGTAACAACAAAAATATGACTTCCAAAAAACTTTCAATAATACTTACATGTTGTTTCAGTACTTTTTTTCCAACCAAGGGCAAGGACAGTACATCTGACGACCCGACACTAGATTTAACCCGGCCCATCAGCCTTTCAAGGTCAGGAAGTTTGCGCAAATGCTGTGTAATGAGGACATTCATATCCACATGCTTCATGAGATTTTCCACCAGATTAAGCCTATTATTAATTTCTTCAATATTCTGTAGCGGATGGCAAATCCAGTTTCTTAGCAGCCGTTTGCCAGATGGAGTAATACAACTATCAAGATAATTCAACAATGTGCCTGAAAGGCAAACAAGACAAGAAATTTTAACCTTCCCCAACGATTGTGGAAAAATATTTTTGAAATTTCCAGAATAATTCAACCTTTAAAACAAATTTAAATTATGGAGACATTGTTAAAAGTTACCTGCTTTCCCACCATCAGCATTATTATTAAAGAGCTCAAGATTCACAAGAGTTTGGCCATCCATTTGTAGACATCTTGCATAAATGTCATAGGGTGCAACATCTCCATTTCTTAAAACATCATCTAGCTGGCATCAGGGCTGTCTGTATCAGTAAAATTAAATTTAAAACTAGTATGAGTGAAAATTTAGAACAGAATGGCCAAATAGGCTCACCATCAACCTAGATAGGTGACAAACAAGTCCCCCAAGCGCACTAATTGCAAGTTCTGGGTGCTTGATGCCATCGAAAGCAGAAGTCCAAGGGTTACAGGATCCTTCAAAATAGTGCTTTGACTGAATCAACTTTTCAACTTCAGAGGCACCTGCAAACTCTGCCCCTGGTACCACAGGGCTCAACAGTAAAGAGGTGGAACCTGCATGTGAAACAAAAATGAAATATATTCCAAGTCAAACAATGAATACATTCAGAAATCAGAGGATTATTCATCTTAACACTGCCTAAAAATCACCTGGATTGATAACATATAAATCATGTCACCCATTCACAATGGTCCACATCAATTACCAAAAAATTTGTCTAGACAAGCCCAAAGAGTTCTTCAATGGAACAATAGCAAGAACAAAGGAAAAAAATCATCATCTATAAGTTCCACTAAAAATCAATTATTGACAGCAGTCAGCACCCTAAGAAGTTTAGAGTACAAACTGCAACTAGAATTATCACATCAACTGCAACATCAGCACCCTAAGAAGTTTAGAGTACGAACTGCAACTAGAATTATCACATCAACTGCAAATTATCACAATAGGATCCATTTCAATTGCAAGGGGGTATATGAAGCAACTGATCTCAAATTTACTGAACCTTTCTTCATAATGGGCAGCCCTAGGTAATGGCATGATGTAAGGAGGCAATAATCATCAAGTATGCATATGTATTTTGTGGGTTCCTTCTATGTCATTCAATTCTCTTTATCGACTCTAAAGATGAAGGCAGTTTATGTTCTCCATCAGCTCATGTATGCAATATCTCAGTTTAACCCCATCCACCTTGCCATCAAAGCTTGAAAACTGAGCACACTTGTGTAAAGAAAACTGGTTTGCATCAATTATAAGGTCCTTGAAATTTCTTAGAATAGAATACGACGATCTCTATTTGTTAGTCAGAGCTCAAGTGAGCAAGTACTGGTCAGCCAATGAGGTTACTACTAATCAATTTGCAGGGACGCCGCAAAAGTTTTCTTCCATAGTTTGCGTCGCAGATGGATCTCATTTAGTTAGTAAGTTTGCTAAATTTTTTATAATAGTGATTAGTTGACCATTGATGCGACATTAGGCAGCAGAAATCAAATAAATGATTTGACAAAAACATTCATACAGGCTACAAGCAAGCATCCTGCTGCAAAAATTGTCTGTATAAACCAGGAGGTACAATTATCATCAGGAAACTCTTCCATATAACTTTCAAGATGAGATATTCATTTGAAAATTTCACCTGTTGAAGCAAACCTTTTAAGTGCTTGCTGAGTTTGCTTCGAGAGCCCTGCACCAAACAAATATTCAGGACTACATCCAATAAAATAGATCTCATCAACTTAATTAAGAAACAACAGTAAGAAGTTCACCTCCATTTTCATACAACACTTCTTTAGGGGAAACCTGAAACACAAAGGAAGGAAGTCAACCACACAACATATCTGAAAAGCTTAAAGAAAAGCCATATGGATGAAAGTCAAGTCACTCACATGCATCAGCAAAGCTCCCAATGCTGAAGAAGAAGAAGCCTCATCTCTTAACGAACCAACCCAAAATTTCAAAGCAGCACAATCCAGGAAGGCAAATCCATAAACAGGTGAACTGCCACCATGTCGGCCAGAACATCCCTGAAGATAAGAATATAATGCAGGTTCAAACATAAACCAGAATTATCATAGACGTATCTTGAATTTGAAAAATTGATGCACATATGTCCCTGATTAGGAAGGGCTGATGAATGTGACATAATTCACAGAGTCCATGACATCAATAACTAGTATCATACTATCATTAAGCTTCCCAAAAAATGCTTTAATGACCTTTGAAGAAAACATTAAGGATCATGATTATTGCATCATCACTAGAGCAAAAAAAAAAAAAATAGTACTTTAAGAGCAGCATATTTTTTAAGCATTTTCTAGCATCATAAAAATACAGGAGACTAAAAAAATACCAACAAGGCACATTCAGCATCGAAAGAGAATACAAGACACTCAAATTCCAGAAAAGTACCAGAGGATGACATTGCATACCTCTTTCAAAGCAAGAAGATGAATGGCATGAGGTCCAATGTTGCCATCCGAAGTCGTTGATGGAGTAAAGACATGAACCAACTTCCGCTTAATCACCTGCAAATATAAACATAGCTATGAGCAGAACAGAACCCTGCATAGTCCTATACTCCACAAGTAATCACAAATAAGCACATATATACAAGGGCATATAGCAAAATCTTATTGAACTACACACAAAGGTGCATGCCCAAAATGACAATATCATCCCTCAAAACATATGTTGCACAAGGAAAAAAGCACAGAGAATCTCCAATGCACTATTATATGAAAAACTATTTTGGGAAGGGACAATACAATTGTCAGTTTGCAAAAAGCACCCACAAACACAACATCTATGCCAACACCAGCATACAATGTGTCCCAAAGGCCCATAAAATACTTACAGCACTTGCTCCTCCTCTAGCCTTAGCTTGATCAGCTGTCTCGGTTTGTTCCATTCTTGCAACTTTGTGTCTTCCATATTAAAACTGAAGTGAGTTAAATTACACAACATTTTTGCAGCATCCCAAAAAGAAGAGAGTAAAAGACCAATATAGAGAAATAAATTCTTAATACACTTTAAAGAAGTTTTACGGGGTTGAACAGGATAAGATCAGGTAAAACAGATGCATGAAAATGTTAGGCACGGCACACCCAGTCAAGTGGCAATACTCTTGCCAACGCACGGGAAGGGAAGAAGAAAGCAATTAGAAACTTCTAACTCAGACTCAGCCTGAGCAACTCGCCTCAGCCAAAGCCTGAATACCTTGGCCGAGCCATTTTTCTGTAAACTGGTTAGAAGTTTCCATGGGATGGTCACACAGAAAATATCCATACCCGCGGGCTATCAGCTTCTGAACAGCATCGTCTATTCCACTCTCAGAAATGCCAACCTGCCCACAAGGTAAAAAGTATATTAATATCAACATAAAAATTGGATTTACAATATTAAGTATAAAAGAAAAATTCATACGAGCCATGCTAGATTATGTCCGAGTCATGAAAGCTGGACACAATACATGTGAAATAGATAAACCCGGACCCCTACGCAAATTCTAAAACATGAATATGAGTATAACCAATTATAGTAGTCATGTTCATGATTATACTACAACTTCCATTTGAACGTTTAATACAAAGCAAACATATTAACTGCAAAACAGATCATAATTCATAGGCTGTATCACATTATATCATTTTTTTCCCCCTTCATCAAGAACTCCTTCAGAATCATCAGAAGAAAAGCATTAAAATGCTTAACAACAGCAGAACAAATTGCTTGCTATTGAGATGAGCTGCAATAAATATGAAAGAGAGCATGAGTGCATAAGCAACATGGCAGCCAATATTCATAAGAGGTTAAATTGATGGGCATTAGTGAAAGAAATAAATATATCCATTTTAAGAGATTAGCATCTTGCAAAAGTAAATATGCCGTTGCTTGAACCAAAAAAGCCATCAGGAAGATAGAAATTTTACCTGTCTACACTTACCCACACCACTAAATGTCATTTTCCAATCGAGCTCTTTGTGACCAATCTCTGCATCTAATTCATATAGCTCATAAAATTTGCCCTGACCAGCATAAGAAAAGAGAAATATTCAAATATACATGGTCATCAGAGATCCAATTGTGTACAAGAGGCATTTTTTACTAAAAAAAACTCCAAGAAACATCATGAGAATCGTTGAAAGTAAACTTGGTATGTATGCAACTAAGTGACATGAAAGCGAATAGAAAATGCAATATGAAGTTGTGAACATTGTCATGACTAGTTGGCTATGGGAACAGTAAAGGGTGTTTTCAATATACAAAGAGAAACCATATAAAAACGAGGGAACTAGAGAACCCATGAAAGTATGATTCAAACTTACCACTTTGAAGAAAAGAACAACATCCATATACTGGCTTTTCACAGTCCAATACTGTCTCTGGGATGCAGACATCTTATTTAAGGCATCAGGAGGTATGTAGAGGGTCCGCTTATCATAAAGGGGATCACCTGGTCTTCTTTTATTTGAGTCCCTTATCGATGATGGGTTGAGCCATTCAAACTTACTGCCTATATTTTCAGATGCTCCACAGTAACTACCAATGCCTGGCCCTAAGTCTAAATCATTAACCATTTTTTGTTTTTTGTTTAAGCCAAACGTCAAAGAATCTCTAAGCATGTCATTGAAGTTACACTGTTCCTCTTGGATTCTTTTCAAGCGGGGAACTAGTGGCCGCATAGCTGGTGTTTCTGGCCCTGAAACCTCACGTACAGTTTCAATA